ATAGACAACGAGGCCGGTATCCAAAAGGTCTCCAAAAATATCATTAATGAAGGCCTGAAACGTGGCGGGGGCATTACATAGGCCAAATGGCATCACCATATACTCAAATAAGCCATAGCGTGTTCTGAAGGCGGTTTTCCACTCGTCTCCCGTCTTAATGCGTACTAGGTTATAAGCGCCTCTGAGATCTAGTTTGGTATATATATGAGCTGCCTGTAACCTTTCAATTAGTTCTGGGATAAGTGGTAAAGGGTAATGTTTTTTTACCGTGATCTTATTCAGGCCCCTGTAATCTATAATGGGCCTAAGGCTTGAGTCCTTATTCTTGACAAAAAACATCCCTGCCCCAACCGGTGACGTAGATGATCTGATGAACCCCTTTTGTAGGTTCTCCTCCAAATACTCTTTCAGATGCTCCAGTTCCGGCTGGGATAAGGGATATATCCTCCCTGTTGGTATGGCTGCTCCTGGTATCAACTCAATCGGGCAGTCATATGACCTGTGAGGAGGGAGAATTTCTGCGTTCTGTTTACTGAAGATGTCAGAGAATTCATTGTAACAACTGGGAACCTGAGTTAGGGAAACTTGCATCAAAGGGTTAATTGGGTAGCAAGTCTCCTTACAGAAGGAGGAATCAAGACTGACACCCCCTGGTGTCCATAATATCGTTGGTTTATGTAGTCTCAGCCACGGCAACCCCAGGATTACCGGGAAGAGAGGAGAGGGAATCACATCGAATGTGAGATATTCGGTGTGGCTCCCTTCACAGGTAACCAGAAGTGGCTGAGTCTGGTGACAAATAAGGCCTGCAGAAGAGGTTGTACCATCTATGAAACTTACAGAGAGCGGTGTTAATCTTTTTGAATGTGGTATTTTATTTTGGGACACAACATGGACGTCAATGAAATTGCCACATGCCCCCGTATCCACCATGGCTCTAGTCGTCATCCGCTCCTGGTCCCACTGTAGGGTAAGAGAGATGTATACGTAATGAGTGGATTGAAGGCTAGGGGGAGACATTTTGCAAATTTGCACAGTCTTACCTCCGGTCCTTCTGCTAACTACGGGGCAGTGGTCCACCGCATGCTGTGGGGAAGCGCAGTAGAGGCATAGGTTGCAGCTTCGCCTGCGGTTCTTTTCGGTCTGGGAGAGGGGCCCCCTTATGGCCCCGATCTCCATTTTCTCCTCCCTTGGGGGGCTGGCTCTCTGGGGTGAGAGATAACTGCCCGAACTGCGTTCGGCACGTCTCTCCTTCAGACGTCTGTCTATAGATATCGCTCTCTGTATGAGGGCTTCCAGTGAATCGGACAACTCCGCCCTAGCAAGCTCATCTTTTAGTGTCTCTGAGAGACCCAGTCGAAACTGTTTCCGGAGACCGATATCATTCCACTGTCTCCCTGGCCCATCGTTGGAATTCGGCTATAAAATCCTCTACAGGACGGTTCCCCTGTTTTAATGTCCGGATGGCGGATTCTGCGGTGAGCTGCTTGCTGGCGTCCTCGTAGAGGAGGGACATGGACTCCAGGAATAGTGTGTAATCATTCAGAATAGGGTGGTCTTCCTCTACGTAGGTGTTGGCCCAAGCCCTGGGTTCTCCTTTAAGATAGATCAGGGTCAATACTCTTACCCTGTCTGTGGGGTATGTACGGGGTCAAAGGTCAAACATTAATCTACAGGAGTTGATGAACTCCCGATACTTCCTCCGGTTTCCCGAAAATGGTTCGGGTGGACAGACCTTAGGCTCGGGTCCCTCTCTTGGCACTGCTGCGTTCAAAGTAACTGTTTCGCGTAACTCCTGATTTTCTAACTGCAGCTCTTGCACGGTTTGAGTTAGGTTTTCCACTCTCTGCGTAAGAGTGACTATATGGTTGGCAAGCTCCGCTGGATTCATTTTCCCTTTGGGTTCCACTATTCTGTAACGTCTATGTTGTGCTGTATGAATCTCAGCTGCGGAGTTTACTAAATACAGGAGAATTTCTTAGGGTATGGTTTCAGGGTCGAGCTCCAGGCGTCACTCTCAAACTTAAGCGGAGAGTTTGGAGCTCTACCATCATATGCCGCAAGTTATATGAAAATTAGATGTGACACACGAGTTGCCCCTGGGTATTACCGCATACCAGGGTTACAACCTCTTCTGTGTGGTTTAAGTAAGTTCAAAAAGATTCAGTAACTTCCAGTGATGATTAACAAACAAAGAAATGTAGTAACACTTTCCCTTTAAATGCTGAGCTCAGGGTTCAATAAGGAAGTCCTTTTAGAATTAGCAGCAGAGTAATTCAATCACTACAGTCAGTACTAGCTGGGACAAACTATCCCAGACTAGTCGATATTTGCTGTCTTTGTAAGTGGGGAGTCCTCTCAGCATTTAGGTCCTACGGTCCTGTTCCAGGCATCTCCAAGTGTCAGCTGGCGTTCACTTGCAATAGTGGAACGCCATACTGATCTTCCTTCCGCCCTTTTATGGGGAAGGAGTGTGGGTGGTGCTACCCACGTCATAGGGCCGCTGAGTTCCACGCTGGAACGCATCGGCAGATTACTTCCGTCTTGCGTTCCACTGCGGAGTGCGGCCGCGATCGTTACACCCGGCTAATCAGGAAGCCAGGTGGCAAGTCATTACACGCCACCTAGCTTCCTTAATGGGACTTCCAGTATCGGTATTGGCGAGTACCGGAAAAAAAATATCGGTACTCGATACCGAAAAAATGGTATTGGTGCATCCCTAGTTGTCACTGAAGTCTATGGGGCCAAAACGCACCAATAAACACGCTTGTACTATTCTTTCCAGTGAGCAGGTGTGAATGGGGCCCCATAGAAAAGAATCCTCTTGTAGTGTTTTAACCTTGGGCAATGTATATAAATGGCACAGGTGTGAAGGTGCCCCATAGAAAAGAATCCTCTTGTAGTGTTTTAACCTTGGGCAATGTATATAAATGGTGCAGGTGTGAAGGGGCCCCATAGAAAAGAATCCTCGTGTAGTGTTTTAACCTTGGGCAATGTATATAAATGGCACAGGTGTGAAGGGGCCCCATAGAAAAGAATCCTCTTGCAGTGTTTTAACCTTGGGCAATGTATATAAATGGCACAGGTGTGAAGGGGCCCCATAGAAAAGAATCCTCTTGCAGTGTTTTAACCTTGGGCAATGTATATAAATGGCACAGGTGTGAAGGGGCCCCATAGAAAAGAATCCTCTTGTAGTGTTTTAACCTTGGGCAATGTATATAAATGGCACAGGTGTGAAGGGGCCCCATAGAAAAGAATCCTCTTGTAGTGTTTTAACCTTGGGCAATGTATATAAATGGCAGGGGTGTGAGCAGGGCCTAAGATGTAAAAAGTTTATTATAAATCATGACCTAGTTAAATAAGACAGCCGGGCAACTAACATTCTCCAAAAAAGCCCAGTAAGAACAATCTTAGGGCTGCTGGTGTGCCTGGAACAGTGCGAGATCATATGCATCGCACTGTTTCTATTTTTTTTGTTAGAACTTTATTGAAATGTCACAAGTGACATTTCACTAAGTTCTATAGGCACACAGCGGTGTGATACAGTTGTACAGCGTCTCACTGCGGAGTGCTGAAACAAAATACTGCATGTGGTAATTATGTTTTTCAGCACCGCCAAGCCCATTCATGACAAGGCAAATTGCCTCTCTGGAGCTGGGGCTGCACTGGAAGAAAAAAAAAACAGCCCGAATGCATCTGGTGTAAACAGGCCCTTAAAGTGTATCTGCAGCTACAGTATGTTTTCACTTGGATAGAGTAGGGAAGAGTTAGCACCCCTGTCAGGATTTTGATATCTTGGTTTGTTCTGGTGATCAGTGTCACCGGGCTAAAAATTGATAGGAAATTCAACATTTTACGGTTGTCACCAGAACAGGAATAGAGGGAACTTTTCCAATGGGGACACCAGCTCCTGTGACAAAATACATTTGGAATTCCTTATATGCATGTTTTATTCCTGTGTGTGATAAAACAAGAAGGTCAGCGTGACAGCCGAGGAAGCAGCATTTGTAAAACAGGGCGTTGCCCCCTTGTTTTCTCCAGGGGGGTCCAAGTTGCCCCCTGATCTCTTCGCTACAAGTACAAGTTGCCCCCTGATCTTTTAGCTACAGGTAAACGTTCTCCACCTGATTCCCCACCCAAACAAGTTGGCCCCGATCTCTTAGCTATGTCCTCTGATCTCTCAGCCGCAGGTACAAGTTGACCCCTGATCTCTTAGCTACAGGTAAACATTTTCCACCTGATCCGTCACCCAAAAGGTACAAGTTGCCCCCAATATCTTAGCCACAGGTACAAGTTGCCCCCGATCTCTTAGCCACAGGTACAAGTTACCCCCTGACCACTTAGCCAGAGATACAACCTGCCACTTATCTCTCAGCTACACATGTAAGCTGCCTCTGATCTCTAAGCCACAGGTCCAAGTTGCCCCCTGATCTGTCAGTCACAGGTCCCAGTTGTCTCCTTATCTCTTAGCTACACGTGCACGTTTCTCCCCTGATCTCTCACCTAGGGGGTACACTTGTGCTCTGATCTCTCAGCCACAGGTACAAGTTGCCCCCTGATCTTTCATTTCAGGTACAAGTTGCCTCCTGATCTTTTAATTCAGGTAAAGTTGCCCCCTGATATTTCAATTCCGGTGCATGTTGCCTCCCAATCTTTTAATTCAAGTGCAAGTTGCCCCCTGATAGTTTAATTTAGGGTTGCCTCCTGATCTCTCAGTACAGGTACACACTGACTCATGATCTCTTAGCTACAGATACAAGTTGTCCTCTGATCTCTCATCCACAGGTGCAAGTTGCCCCCCAATCTTTCAATTGTGGCACAAGTTCCCTTCTGATCTTTTAATTCAGATACAGCTTGCCCCCTGATATTTCAATTCAGGTCCATGTTGCCTCCTGATCTTTCAGCTACATGTACAAGTATTCCCCTGATCTCTCAGGTATAGGTCCAAGTTGCCCCCTGATCCCTTAGACACAGGTCCAAGTTGCCCCTTGAAACCTCACCTTTCCCAGCAGTCTCCATCGGGCTCTCGCAGCTCCTGCTCTGACTTTACCAGCATCCTCCTCTTCTGTACTCCGCACAGTGGATGTGCAGGACCTCTGTCCATGTTCATCATTCTGCTGCCCCCCGCCAGCTTCCCCCTCAAGCTCCATGTCACCCGGCGAACGACTTTTAGTTTTTAATTCTGCCCGCCCGCCTGTCAAATTGTCACCAGCCTCTTCCGAAACAAACAACACGCGAGCCGGTCTTAGCCACACCCCTTACTTCTACCAACCAATCGTGTGTCTAGTATTCACTATTTCCGGAAGATGAAAGCTCGGCGCAGTGAGACGTCATTGCTGTGCGCCAGGCGGCATACCCACGTGTGGTGTGTACCGGTGGAGCGTTCTGTGACAGGGCTGTTTCAGCATCGGTTCGGAAGGGCAGCCGGGCACATTACTGGCTTCCTGCGACTGTGAGATTCCATACATCACAGTGTTCTCCATATTAATTTCCCTTTAGTGGGATGTAGTGTCCACTGCAGCTGTCATAATACTGGCATGATGGATTGCATAGCACTAACAATGCCGTAGTACCGTATAAGGGAATACACGGAGTAAATATGTGCCGGAGGAATATGAAAGCTGTCTTGTGTCTCTTGTGACATGGCTGTCATGCTGGTCCAGAGTATTTAGTATTTTCTGGGCCACTGACCTGTACATGCGGATCAGAGGTTCTGACAGCTTGGGTTAGTGTCCCAAGAGCCCTGAATCCAAAGAGAGCCAAACAACTAGTAGTTTCAGGAGAGGGTCAGCAATCGCAACCCCACTTATTTTAGTACAAGCCTTTAAAGTGAACCTGTTCTAATGGCTGATGTCCTGTTTGAGGCTCCTAGGGCTGCTGCTGACCAACTCCTGCCAGTTTGTGGGGTGCAGCTTGATGTAAAATGAGGTGGCGACCTTGGACGAAGCACTATTAGAGGTGAAGAATAGCAGCACCCAGTAGGGCTTTGGAGCCTTTGTTACAGTTAACAGCGTTCCTATGAAATGCCCTTCTGGAAATGTGAAAATCCCCCCACAGTAGTGCTACAAAGGTCGTTTAACCCTTTCGCTGCCAAGCCCTCTGGAACATTTTTCAAATCAGCTGGCCAAGCCATTTTTTAATTTTCTGCAATTTTTTCCTATTGATTTGATTTTCAACTGCTGCGTTGCTAGCGTTTGTAAAAGACCCCCCAAATCATATATTTTCTGAAAGCGCAGGCCAGGTAGAATAAAAAGATGGTGATACTAAATTTATAGGCCCTGTGATAATTGCACAAATGTTTCTCAAATTAATATTAAACCGATAAAAATACACAATTCAATTGTTAAAACACACCAAAATCAGTATCCGTGCACAAAAAAAATTATTTTCTGACTAAATCTAAAAGATAAAACTGTATTGAGTTAATTAATAACAAATATTAGCAATTTGTAATTGCGCCTTTTTGCGAAAAGGTAAAAAAATGAAGGTATGCAAAACTGTAAATAATCGACTTATGTAAAAAATTGTTTTGGTGTTTGTGTTGTGATAAAATGATACAGGTGTATATTTAATTGCAACACAAGGTATCACAACGCATGGCAATGAGTCACAAAGCTTTGCCATGCGCTGCCACAGTTAATTTAATGGTTTTTT